CGCTGCCGGGGTCGAGGTGGGGGAGGAAATCCTGGCGGACCGAACGTCCAGAGCACTTCGTCTTCAACCTTCCTGGTGCCCTTAATCTGGGTTGCTGTTAAGGAACTTAAATTAAGTTACTATATTAGGGAAACCCTATTATTTACTATATATATACCCATTATGGTAACTTAATTCAAGTTCCTTAACAGCAACACAGATAAGAGCAGTTGACAATGTGGGTCCTGCCCCAACCCATTAACACTCGATAATCGGGGTCATATTAAGGGCTATATTTAACTATCTTAGAAATTTTTCTCCAACTGCTACTAAGTGGGGGCAGTACCCAAACAAGAACCATAGTCGTCGCTACCACAGCAAGCAGTATGTCAATCTGGGCGGTAATGGCAGGACTAATTAGAAACCCTAAACCCTGCACCCTAACCCCTGAATCCTGAACCCAAAGCCCATAAGACTGTTCGCAAACGCCTTGCTGGCGGCTTTGGCTGGGCAAGCTGTTTTGGCTGGGCCAGCTGTTTTGGCTGGACCAGCTGGACCTCCAAGACATGCATATGAGATACAGTCAGAATATCCTACAGAAGTTAATGGACATGGGTTAGGAGGACCCCCCATCCTTAAAAATCGTGGTGTAATGGGAATATAAGAGGACCCTAATATAATCACCATTATCCCTTAAAGTCACAATTACAGGGTGGGGATCCGTGCACCTAAGACATGGATTCCTTGATAAGGACTATATCAAGGACCATGTTATACTACAAGAGGGACCTCTATGTCCGCTGCTAAGGGTCCCTTAATAAGGCTAATTGACTGTAGCTCATATGGGTATTTATTGTCAGCACAGGGAATAAGGGGCCCTTGAAAACCCTACTGATACGTGGGCATTCGAGATGGCCTTACGGGCCTCAAAATGCTTCAAGGATATTGTAAGATGTCCTGAGATGCGCTCATATTGCAACGCTCTTGCCATGTTGCAAAGCAGAACTGTACATTATATTGTAGCAAATCATTGAATGCTCGGGCGTTGCTGCACTAGATCTGTAGCATTCTGTAGCCAACTTTTACATTGCATGTTCTGGTGCGCTGAGTAGCTTCCAATATGAAAGCAGCATTCCAGAGTGTGCATAGAACATGCCAGAGTACATTATGCACAGGTGCATGGCAGCGTGCCGCGGTAAATTGTAATGCGCTAAGTGTAGCATATATGGCAATATGCTGTTGAGAACTAATGCAATGTTCGAACAGTCTCTAGTACACGTGTGAAAACTATTGTTTTGAATAAGCGACGGGAAAGATGCACTACCAAATAGTGAAGTCTACTGGGCTAATACCCGGAACCCTAAACAGTTTGAATGCGGAATTCCAGATCTGCTCTCATGCCTTCTGCTGCAGTCCACGTTCCGGTGAAAGTCGACTGGTCCGGAGGAGAGATAGCAGAGAAGAGACCACCACCAGTGCCACCAAATAGCTTTGAGGACCTCAGTGCATGTAGTAGGGCTTAGGGCTTTGGGCTCAGAACCCCAACCCCTAAACCAGCTCACAGAAGGGACCCAAACCTTTCCCACAACCCTCCCAAACTAAGATGGCACCCTTTGAAGGGGCTGCGATGCGGTGGGTTTAGGGTTTGGGTCATATTAGCATGGATTTTTGGCGGGCTTACAGGGATATATATACTTTGAGACGAACCCTTCCCAAATCAACATGACCCCGCCCCCCAAGCACGCATTGCGTGAAATGCCAGTAGTCCTTACTTGGCCCCTTTTTGGGGTGTTCTATGTTATCTTGAGCGAGGGGAAAAGGGACCCTAAAACATAGGCAGCTGATAAATGTTACGGTTTAGTCGAGGTGGCACCATCAACCTCATGAAGCCCAAGCCCTGCAATAATGGCTGCTTTCGCTTTATTTGGGGGAGGGGGAGTACGGAGGAGGGATGGTAGAGGATCCCATGACGGAGTCCAAAAATTGCACTTAATTCATCAATGTCGTAACAGGCAATAGCATGCGACCTGTGAAGGAGAATGCGCTGCCACCTGCTAATCATAAGCGCCCTCCGCCTCCAAGCAAATATTTGATGTTCCCAAAACCTTATAGCATCTTTCAGTTATGTGTGTCACAAGGGGGGCGGTGGTTCGGTTTTGCGCTTGGGGGAGGACACAGCTTCCATTTCATCTTCCATGTTCTTTTCCATTTGATTCTGCACTATTGGGGTAATATCCCCATACCCCTAAGGGTCCATGTACCCAAGAATTAGGTACTTGCTTAGGGTTTAGGGTAATAGTAATTACAGTACAGGTTTTGGGTAAGTATATGATTATTAGGTACTTGGACCCTTAGGGTACAATCCCTATTTTTACCCCTTTCACAACCTTATATGGCCCTATATAACCCCATATAGCCATATATAACCCTATATATATATATGTATATATATATAACTACCCTAAACCCTAAACCCTAAACCCCTATAGTTGTAACCCTATATATAACCGGTTATAATTGATTCACCAGCTCAGGACCGATACCCTGTCCACGGACTGCTGGAGGACGAGTTTTCCTGGCAACAGAAGTGGGAGGTGTTTGGGGCTCAATACAGGGGCTTAGGGTTTAATGTGTAGGGTTTA